GTCCGTGGAGTCTCCTGCTCTGGAGAGATCCCAAACCTGCCTGGCTGTGACCCTGGGCACCCTGCTGTGGGGGAGCTGCTGGAGCAGGGGGGGTGGATGGGATGATCATCTCCAGCATGAAGCTCTTGAACTTCTTTATCTGAAAAATCTCACTTGCTTTATTAATTTTAGAGGGATTTGTACTGAAGCCCCAGGGAATGCATTGCCTGCTGCTAGCAGGAAGAATCTTTCCTCCCGTGGTATTTATCACCCACCTTCCTTTCTCTGGCCTTTTTTTGCAGGCCCCCAGTTGCCAGAGGACCCCTCCCAGTTGCAGCCCACTCCCTTCAGCGAGTACAGACAGTACCAGTGATCCTGCCCCTTCTCCTGCCTCCCTCTGGCTTGGTCTCCACACCTGAGCAGCCTCCCCAGGAGCTGTGCCCAGGACCTCCAGCACCTCCTCGGCGGGGCTGCCCGGCAAGGACTGTTAGCAGATGACAGATCTATTTATTCCTGGCCCATCCCCTTGCTGTAGTGTCACCCCGTGGCTGGGGGAATACACCCAGGTTTGAGTCGAGGGCCCTCTGGAGTCTTGTCATGCTTTGGACCTGGACTGAAAAGCTTTGGAGTCTTCCCTGGGACGTGGCCCCCAGCACCCCCAGCCAGCTCAGCTGCAGTTCAGCCTCCTCCCCGTGGGATTGGGGTCACCACCCCTATGGCAGCCTAAGGCAAAGAGTGAATTTCACATGCCCAGAGGGAATGTTCTTGGGAAGAACAGTGTGAGCCAGTGGAGAGTCCTGCCAGCAGTAGCTTTCTGGCTGCTGTTGTGAGTTCCTGAGCTCTGGGGCAGCCTCCCCTCCCAGACCAGCAGTGGGAGGGATGGGGATGGGGCTGGGCTGGAGCCTCACACCCCAGTGCCCAGCTCCTGAGTGCAGGTACAACATCTGCTCCTTTTTTTCCAGCTGCGGAGGGGGGAAAACTGAGTCAGACCTGAGGAGGAGGAGAGGGGGACAGTGACACAGAAGGGGTCACAGGGAGGGGTGACAAATGGGTGCATTGGGACTGTTTGAAGAGGGGGGGTGTGAGGGTGGGGTCCTGGCCGTGGTCTCCTGTGTCCTGTCCTCCTCTAAAAGGGACATTTTCCTGTGTCCACCCCCTGCTTGTCCTGGCACCACCCAGGACTGAGGGGGGTCGTTGCTGTTGGGGTGTGATTGTCAGAATCCTTGAGCACCAAAGTGTGCCTGTGAAGGCTCCAATTGCTCTCCCAGCTCCTTGGGTGAGTTTTAAAGACCCTTTTCATGACTTGTGTCACTCAGCCACTGCTCTGTCTGGTTCTTGGTCGAGCCCCTGGCTGTAGAGTGGGTGACTTTCTGGTCTGTGAAGGAGAATTCCACCTGGGAGCTGTGGAGCCTCCCCTCTGGATCCTGACCGGGTGGTTTCCTGTACAGTTCCTATAGGATTAGAGCACTTGGGGGGCTTTGTGCAGCTCTGGGGTCTCATTCTCCAGCCTCTCACACCACTGAGCTGTCCCTGGGGTTTTGCTGGAGGCAGAGGATGCTGCTGGCCCCTACCTGGAGCACCCGGGTGACCTCTCCCAGCGGTGCTGGGCCTGGGAGGAGACTGCTGGGGGTGGGACAGGGGGTGCAGGACCTGGTGTGGTACCTGCTGCTTCCCACCCTGGGGGCTCCCCTCGAAGCTGGGCCATGGCTGAACGACTGAGGGAAGGGCCAACACCCAGCCCTGCCCTGCAGCAGGGACATGGGGATCAGCAGCTGAGGCCAGCAGGACCAGGGCAGGATTGTCCCCCTGGACTGGGCACTGGGGAGGCCACACCTTGAATCCTGGGGTCAGGTTTGGGCCCTTCAAGAAGGACATTGGTGAGATGAAGTGTGGCCAGAGAA